AAAAGCACATCAAGTCAACAGAAACCTCTGGCATTTTCTTTGGAGCCTGCCGAGTTATCAGCAAAACCAACAGGCCACTGACTGACCTTCAAGCAACACGCTTGCTCCAAAAGCTGGCGAGTGCTGTAACTTTAATACAACCAAGGGCAACGATATCACCACAGAAGGAACTCCCCTTTAATTTTTCAAGGGAGCAGAGATGACCTGGTGATTTTGGATTTCTGCCACTCCAATTAAAAAAACATAAAGAAATGTTTAGTGCTATACAATGTGAGACAATTAGAAAAAAATGGTGAGGCCAGGAAAGAAATACGTGGTAAAAAGAAATGCTGCAAGAAGGGGCCTCTACTTAAAGCTTCATTCTTTCTGAAATTCAACAGTCTTGAGTAGCTCACAAATGTTGCATGCTAAAAGGACTTCAATTTCTTTGCACTAACAGAAGCTTTAAAATACGATTTACATTTTTTTCTAGGCTCATGCATCACCCCTGAAACACCTGCAATGCATTAAACATTTAAATCCCCCCTACTTGTAAAATAGGTGACTTTTCCCCTTCTCACAGAGTATCACTGGCACCAGCCAAGACTTCTTACCATTTTTGCTTTAAGCTTGATGTTTATTAGAAGACCAGAATCGGGGCAGGTTTCTTGCCCTTTGAAAGGTTTTTGATTTGTTACTTAACTAAACATGTTTGTACAGCTTTCTTCATATCTACAAGTCCTTAATCCACAAGATGTCAGTTGAGGCAATAATTATATTAATAAATTGTAGACAGTCTAAGAAGAAAAGAAAGATGGAGAAGCATTTGGAATTAACATGCTGTGAATCAGTCCTGCATCATCCTTTGTCAGTGGCATTAGCAGGCTTTTTTTTCCCCCTTCTTGTTGCCTTTTAGTAATAATTTTCAGTGCGTTTGACACATTTCATCTCACTCAATGCACTGAACCCTAATACAAGAGAACACCAGTTTGTCAAACATACGTTATTTGAGGATGCATATCAGTTAATCTTAGGCAGCTGACATTGTCAAAGACAGCCACACTGGCAAGAGCTAAAAACATGCTAGGCAAGCAGGAAAGAGGGATCATGCGAGAGCACAAGCGTGGCTGCTGAGATACCAGCACCACCCAAGGCCAAAGACCCCCCCACATTCCTGTCCCTCAGTTCTCCTCAAACCAAAAGTCTCCGACACCAGGCTCAAAGCACACGTTTCCACTGGTGCTGACAAGGGGAGCAGCAAACCTGAGAAGTCTAGTCATCCTCCTGGTACAGCATCCAGCACCAGGTATTTTAAGAGCAGGATGAGAAGACGACTCCCTTCTGAAAAGACTTTCTAGTTGTCTACAAGGGTTTCACAGAAGCCTCTGTGAATATTTATGGGTCAAAGTAAAGCACTTGACTGAGTCTTTGCAGCACTGGGGCCAATATTTGCAATTCAGGATACCCATACTGTTTTGCTGCTATGAACATGAGAGCGAAGTCCTAAAAGGTTCTATAAACAACAAACAAAGAAACAAAAAGGCATGCTACAATAGCAGAACTTCTAGGGATGCCAAGCTTTACATTTTAGTGTTTCTTACAGCTGTTTTTAGCAATCTTAATTTCTAAATGCATTCAGTCTTCAACTGGAGGATCATCATTCAAAAATCGGCCATTTTAGAGATTATGCAATATATCCATGAGTTTTCTCCCTCAAAGTTCACAGGAATTGGAGACATGATAAAGTACATATGCTACAAATCCTCCAAGATTAGTCTCTATTTCTGTTTTACAATTTAGCTCAAATCCAGATGTGAGACAATATGGAAAATAAATCATTTATTATAAAACCAAAATTCTTATTTTTTCAATTTCCAAGCCCATTGATATTATTGAACATGGTTACCTGATGTTAGGAAAAAAAAGTGGAAATCAAGTGGACTACAGCAGCAGTAAAGGTATTTTCTACATATTAGTACAAACTTGCTGTTAATTTTTTTTTTTTTAAAGGTTAAAATAAAAACCCCCCTCTCCTCCATTCTGGTTTATTTCACATACTAACACTATTTCAGATTTAGTGACTTTTAAAGTTACCTGTTTAATATTTGTTTTTTCTATTTAGATATTTAACAGAATTAGATGCATAGAAAGTAATTATTTTTTGTTTATTGCCCAACTTGGCTTTAAAAAAAAAAACCACAAAACCCTGAAAAACCCTGATAAAGACTTAAATGAAGAACAATTCCTTGAATCACATAACTGATTTCTTCCAACCAAAGGGCTTCACGTTGCTATCCTTACTATCCATTTCTGCCATCTCACAAGACCAAAAACATTTGCTAAAAAGATTCTTTCAAAAAGAAAAGTATTTATGAGTCACTCTCCAGGTACACTGTTGACTGCGAACAGTGAAAATACTTCAGTGGTAATATTTCTTGCTCTTTAATGAGAGACTGTTTTACTTACTCAAAACAATTTTTGTACACTATTAATTTCCAGAAATTACTAACAGATACTTCTCCTATTTACAACTTCCAAATAAAATTGTATCTGCCATTCCACCAGTGGAAATGCTTCTCATAAGGAATTTGCTTATTTTGGACTCAACAAAGAACCAGAGAAAATACCAGTAGAGAAATAATACTCTTTGCCCCAGCACATTTACAAGGAATGCTTTGCATCTGTAGGATTTCAGGAAGTGACTCATTTTCTTATCAAGAAAGGGTTAAAGTTTTATTTGGGAAATCCCCCAGGAGGAGAGATGGTAAACAGGTGTTGGTAGGAGAGAACAGAAGGAAGACTGCACCAAACATTTTGATAGCGATGCCTCTAGTCTACAGTCCAAGATCCCAAGATCTTGAAACGTTCAGGTTAGAAGGAAAATATTCTGACATAGAGCAGCCAGTTCAGAACAAATTGTCTATGAGTTCAACAGCTGAAAACATTCACTCAGAAAACTTCTCTGTTTAAGTAGCCAAGGATGTCAAAGAGCTGTTTTGTTTCTCACATAAGCAGCCCATTCTGTACTACAACACTTTGTAGTTCCTTAGAAAACTTTTAAGACAAGTGGTCCTAGATGAAAATCATTTTCTTCTAACTATAAAAAAGAAAAAAAGAAGCACCCTTTTCATCTGATCCATGATATAATTTATCTGTTGCACTAGAGACATGTAACTTACAAAAGGAGACGGAAACATTATAAATAGAATTCAAGGAACATTTCTTTTTCCTGTTCACCATACCAAAAAGCAATCACTGCCATCTCTACAAGAAGACATGGCACAAAAATCTTCATCCTGAAGCAGGCCAAGTTTGGAAAAGAGATCACCAAGTAAGCACTGGAGAGCAGAAAGTGGTTTATATAGCTCAACCTGAACTTCATCACAAGAAACCACCCTCCCAGCAGGCACTAGTAGGACTTTTTATTAAGGAAAAGCAAAGAAAAGAATAGCAGATTTGGGTGGGTTGGTATAAAGAAGATGCAGGGATTTTGTTTTATAGTCTTTAGTAGAACAGGCCCCACTTGTTCCTTGTTCTACACCTATGCAATACCCTAAGTCTTTACAGGAAGAGGAGGATTTCACCTGTCAGAACCAGTGTGGGAGAACAGGGTGTTGGTGATACACTCTGGGGAAAAAAAATGTGGTAGTTTTACAAATGAACTTTTCCAAGCAGCTGGCAGAGTAGAACGAATACAGGTCTAAGACATTTAATGCTTGGCTCAATAGAAAATCTCCACTGCATTTGAGTGAGGCGTTAGGTCAGTCTTTTACTGCAGAGATGTAAGAGCATTCAGGTACACTTTAATCTGGCCTGCCCCAAATACATTACTTTCGAGAGAAAGAAACTGTATCTTTAGCAAATAGCATACATGTAAAGTAATCAGAATGGCAAGGGAGACACCAAAAGCCCTTCCTCATTTGAAATGCAGTCAGCATCTCCTCTGTGAGGCTGATGAACATACAAACTTAAAAGAAATAGGAGCGCATAATTAGCTTGACTTTCATTAATACCCAGTAAGGTCATTGTCAATCTGACCACTGCTATATATAAAATTTCCTTCAGAGGCTGTGCCTAGGAGTCTAGATTATGGCTGTGACTTCCCCACCCCATCATACAATTGCATAATTAGATTTTTCACAAATATAAAAAAACCCTTTCACCCCACCCATGCAGCTAGTGGTGTCAGCTTTAGAACATATGTTCTCTTTGCAAACATGCAAACATCTTGTGATGGATACTCTGACAAGTGCTGACACTGCTATGAAAAACCAATGCTTGGCTACTAGATTTTGTGACAATGCCAGGAGAAAGAAAAAAAAAAGTTAATTCTTTTCTTCCTACCTCCTATGGAAGACAGAGATTTTAAAAATGATAGATTAAAAAACAAATTAAAAAAATAATCAACACATACCCACAATTAAAAGGAACATTTAATACTCTAGAACAGAGCTTTAAATGTAGCATTTCATTCATCCTCTGGTATCAGGAACCATAAGAGGGAAAAAGTCTGCTTCTCCTTCAATCAATACAATCCCTTAAGAGTCTAAGCTTCAAAACATTCACATAAAATATTAGCGTTATATATTTGCAGTAGATAAACTGAACCAGCAAGACAATCAATCAATTTTCAATTACTTGTGGCAACTAGATAAGATGATAGTGCACACACTAACAGCTGACAATAGTTACCTAATGAGCAGGCTCATGTCTTACCGAAGTCACGAGCCTCTGGGTTACATAATTAATAATAGCCATTTACAATCATAAATAAGTATTTCCTCTTCTGTCTTCATGAAGAAAGTTGATTAAATGTAAACAGAGATGTGCCCATCACAAAACCATCCAGTGTAACTTCTTTTTGCAAGGACTATCCACTGCCTCTTATGTTATGAGGAGGGAGTTCATGAAATGCATTAGTAAAATTTCAGGTGTAACAAGAGCGTTAACTTATTTATTACTTTGTACATCACAGCATTCTTACATCCCAGTAGATGTGTTTGGAATAATGCCATACTTACAACATCAAACTTCTGTGTGATGTTCCCCTGGACATCAAGTAAATAAACTTTGCCATAATGTGTTCCCAGTGCCAAAAACTGTAAAAGAAAGAGACTGATTACATAAACACAAAGACACTGCAACCAAAACTACAGCAATGCTAAATGAACTCTGGGATGTTTAGCAGATTAATGATTAGCAGCACCAGGGGAAAAAAAAAAAAATACCACCACCTTCTATAGACAAAGCTTATTTTAACTGCACCTAAAGAATAAAACAGGGCTTCAAGCCCATATTACTGTGATAGTGCAAGTTAGCTGTCAGAATGAGTCATGAGGACCCTCATCCACTGACAACTAATGGTGTGTCTGCAGTCCGTACACACTGCCTGATGGACTGTGGCAGCAAATTAAAAATGCAGCGTGAAAGCAAGGACCAACACAAACCTGATACAGTTCCTAGATCCTTTCCACAGCTTTGTTTCAATCATAATGATTTCCTTTGGGCTTGGTTTTTAATTCTCCTCCATCATTAGCATAAAACCAAACCATTCAAACACAGCAAAAGGCCACCGGTAAGCCACTGGTAAAACACTGCTGGATTATGGAAGGTCTCTGACAGGGCATTTAAGCACACAGATAACCACTGGGTTTGCTTTCCTTCACGTAGTAATGTTCCTGCATTGAACACTCTCAAGACAAATACAGTTTTCCTCAAAAATCTCAGGAGTTTCATTCTAAAAAATAGTAGCAAATAAAGAAGCCTCCACACAAATGCATGCTATCACAAACTTATTTTGATACAAACAAGAAGGGAATTGATTCTGAGAGATCTGCTGTTAATTGAACCATGTGAACTACACCTAAATAGAAAAGGAAGAACTTCGGTACTACTTGATTTATGACAGAGGTTTCTTTTATTCCCCCCCTCCCTTCAGCATTACTCAAATAGTCTAGGCTCCTCAATTCTCTGTATTTCACTGCATGTGAGCATGCTTCATTGCAACCTATAATGAAATGCTCAAATTTACAGGCACTGCTAAGCGTGTCAGTCAGGCAGCACAATCTTTAAAAAATAACCTTACAGAAAGTCAAGGTTTAAAAGGATTTATCAAAATGGAATTGCTTAAAATGAAATTTCAGTTCAGGCACTTAAAATATGAAGCTACATTAAAAGGAGTCAAGAAAGGGAAAGAAGGGGTTCATTAGAAATTCATCCCCTGCAATGCCTTTCACTCCTGCAAGGTTGCCTTTTTTCAGGAAGAAAAAAGTCCCCCGGGTAAAAAAATCAATACTGGTTAATAAAACATCAGGTGTGCAGACATAACTAGGTATGACTATTCCACTGCACAGGCCTGCTTGAATGCACCAGGTGCCATGACGATTAGTCATCCAGTGCAGACAGCAAGCCTGGTGAAAATATGATGCTTTAGCAGTGAAAAGAAAAAAAAATAATTCTGGGGGGAAATTAGTCTGAATACAGAAGGCAGATTTTCAGGATTCCCAGCAAAGTTAAACTGCTTTAATCAGAGGCCTGTTTTACATAGTACTGTATAATTTCGTTAATGATGACTTAGCAGGTGTTTTCCTGCTTTTGCAGGGGAAAAAAAAAAAACAACAAAAAAACCCCAACAAAAATTCCCAACCAGAATAAAACAGAAAACACCCTCGCAAAACCCATAACCCAGCTTCATTTTTAAGCTCTCTGTTCTAAGAGACCTACTCCTAAAAGACTCCAGTACCTGTCTTCTAACAATATTGATCCTTCTCATAAATAGTGTATCCAGTTTGTTGAAAAGTAAAAAGTGCTGGGATACTTAAACAGCTTTCTCGTATTGTCACTCTTTGTGACACTATAGTTAAAGCTGTATCTGTGCACATCCTTATAGAAAAATCCTGTTCAACTCTCGGCTTTCAAAATTTACCTGAGGCTCAGGAGAAAAAAGGTAACACAAACAGGCCACAGACCAGAAGGAAACACTTGCCAATTTTCCAAATATCTGTGTAATCCTAAATTGTCAAAAACATTTTGAAAAGATTTATTGTTTTCATTCGCACAGTTAAAATACAGGCTTCATCTTAAGAGCCTCTTGAGCCATGGCAACAGTCCTTTGAGTAAAAGAAACACAGCACAAGTCAATCTAAAAATATAGCCAAATAATAGAGATAGATCCCTCAGCAATAACTGTTAAGGAGCTATTACTGGCTGTGAAAAATTATACATTCAGAAAATAGCTATTATGTTTTACATACTAATAGTTACTGATAAACCATTAACTCATACTTTCAGATGCTCCACAGCATTCCTCAATATTTTAAAATGTTCTTCAGTATTTATAAAAGAGAAGAAAGCTCAGAAAATAAAAAAGGAATTGTTTAAATCATTAAAACAGATGAAGTTTCTTCCTTGTAACAACAAAGGAATGTCTCCTCGTAAAATTTCTTTACTTTGCCTCGTCCATCACTTTCTCCCTTTTATGCTCTTACAGGTCTCAAACCTTACCAGTACTAGAGCACATGCCTTCCCTCTCCTTGCTTTTAACATATTGCATCAGGGACAGGGAATAGGGAAGTATTAGTATGACAGCCCCCCAAAAAACCCCAAACAACTAAGAAAGGCATATTGTAACTACTGTCTTCTACACTGTATTAACAGAAACTCAGCTGTCTTGCACAGCTGAATACATGCTAAGTTGGCCCCTGGCACGATCAAGTCTGTGTTCAGTGATCCAGACTGCACAAATAAGCACAGTATATGCCAAATTCCTTTCTGAATGAAGTTGGGACTGTATCCCATTTCTAGTTCATAATGTTATCCATAATTAAAATCAGGTGAGCATTTTCCCAGTAGCTTATGTAAATATCACATCTAACAAATCACTTCACCTTGAATTCTCACCTCATTTTCTCACTGAGAAAGTATGGATTGTTCAACACAGGTTTACCATGAATTTTGTTTATATTAGTGTTCACTTGCACTGCACCTCTAGGTTTGGCAGCACTTCTACACAGAAATATATTGATGCATAAGCATATATAAATATATAAAACCAAGCAGAAGTTCTGTCTCTGCCACAAAGTCACATAATACCTTTTCATGCACCGTCATGCAGCTGGCTGCATCCTTCTGGAGAATTTCAGTCACTCCATTAGAGAGCCGTTCATACTTCAGCTTAGGTTCTTCTTCACTCTCATCTTCCTAAATTTTTAAGAGTGTAAGGAAAAGGGAGCAAGAGAAACAACCAAACATTTAGAAGGTTTTTTAAAATAAAAAACAACTTAAAAGATACCCCAAAATTATAACACAGCAACAGGCGAAGATGGATCACTGCTATCTCTTAACAACAGCCATTACAATCAAAAGCCAAACTTTAAAATTTTATCATTGGAGGGGGGCTTGGGTTGTGCTTTTTTTGTTACAACTTCCTCTTTTTACTCCAAAGTTCTGGATGCAAACAATGACTGTATAGCAACATATCAATACAGCTGTAAGAGGCACTTAGTCGGTATCTAAAAAGCAGGAAAAAATGTACATGTGTACTTTGTTACGTAAGGTTAGTCATTCACAATTTAGAAGAAAAATATAAAAAGGGATGGATATGGAAAAACGGATGATGTTAAAATAACATGTGCCACTGTAGCCACAATTAACTCTAAGCTGAAGCATGCAGGTTACAAGAAACTTCAAGACCTTTACAAGACGCTGCACCTCTGTAGGAAGGATAGAAGCAAAATGCTGTAAATAAAAATAAAAAGAATCCACTAGGAATAAGTCAATTTTATAAAACACACCAATGGGTTTACGTTAGGAAAAAAAAAAAAAAGTATAATTATGTTGTTACAAAACCATCTGGGAAAAGGATCTGGACACAGCATATTCCTAATGATCACCTATATCATTTTCACATTAGGAACTTTTTCTGGTAAATACCAAAGCTTTCCTCTCTTTCTTTTCAAGCATGTTATGCAATATCACCCAATCACTACTTAGATGCAAAGAAAGGTGATGCATCAAGTGGCACAGAGTGAAGAGAAAGGAGACAGAGTTAAAAAACACAAGCAGCAAATTCACTGATCAAAGAATTCCCAACATGTTTATCTCTTAGAAAAAGAAAATCCAAGGTGCAATATAGCTCTCTGGTCACAAGCATCTATCTGTAATAGATGGTCTACTGAAGTTCAATGCCAGAGAGAGATTTCATAGGCTTCAGTAAGCCTCAGTTAATACTGTACATGCATAGACATACACAGACCCATATACATCCCTTGGTCCTCACTGGGAAACAGTATACCTGCAGCGATAGTCTCCTGCACTTACTATTAGTTCTAATGAACACATCAATGTTGAGTGTGTTTCCCACATAAAACATGTCTTTCCTTCCTAAGCAACCAGAATATACCAGTGCAGTGCTCTAGTAAAGGAGCACCTTTACTTCCTACCAACCACTGCTCTCCAACCCCTAGAACAGAAAATAAAAATACACAGTGTGAGCCTATAGCAGAACTGTGTTTGTGCAACGTTCTCTTGTAGCTAATGATCTGAAAAAATAAATTTGGAAGATAAACATGCTGACTTGTTAATAAAACGTATTTTGTTCAAAGTGCCTTTGGTGTACTAAAGCCAGTCTTTCCCACGTTAAATATTAGAGTGATTTACCATGTGTGCTACCATCACACATGCTAATAAGTACATACCCTCATACAAAACACATAAAATCCATACGGACCTATGGAAACACTCAGTATTTAGCCCCATGCTTATATAAATATGCTGCAAAGAGAGGCCCTTTTAAAATGTTATTTGGGAGTTTTATGACAGAATACAAATGGGATTAATATAGGGATGTCAGCAGTCCATGACGTAGCAGTCTGAAGTGAGGTGTCAAAATGTCCACCAAGAAACAATTTTATTCAGTAAATCTAACACTGAACAAAGTTGTTACTAGACAGAATGACAATGTCAAATTACAGGGCTGTATATAAATCAGCCAAATTCCCTGTGCCTACAGATCCTTAATAAATGACTACAGGGTAAAAGGGAGGAAGTGAAGTCAAAATAAAAAACATGTACATGTGATGGAAGGAAGGCGTATGGAAGTATGCGTCCATTTTACAGCAATTAATACATTACTGCATTTTATACATTGCTTACAAAGATTACACTTGAAATGCATGGGTAATCATTGAATAAATTCATAAAAGTAAAAACTGAACTCCAGTCATCTAGTGTTTATAAGATCCCACATGTTGCTGGAGTCTGGACATCCAATGTGCAACCAACGTGAAAAGTTAATTCTACTCTCTTGAGTAGTTTGCATAAAAGCATTCGTCCATGGACCATTAGATAAAGTTACTGTAAATAAGTTTTGCCTGTCTTATTTATGAGTGAAAACTAAGTAATTTTTCCTGCACGTGCATACACAAAAAATATATACTTTCAAAAGTCAGTGCACTGGAGCATTCTGCCAAGCTTCGAAAAAAGTAAATAATAAAATGAAAACTTCAAATATGAGGCACGATGATGTAGCCATTTCATGCTTTCTTGACAGGTATCTTTTATGTTAAGTAAAACTCAAGCTAAAAGGTGAATTGAAATGGGGTGGGAGCACTTTGTAAACAAAATGAAATTAAAAAGGTGATTTGCAAAAGGCAAGATTTCTCTACTGCTTCAGACTCTACCTGATATATTAAATGCCTTTGATGAGCTCTTATTCAGAATATCAGAATTTAATAATTTTAAAGGTACTTTTCTATCAGGAAAAGATTTTTCTGCAGTCTGAACTTCTAAAGTAAACACAAGCCAGTGTTAATAAAAAGCAAATCAATAATTTTTGTTAAATTTTAATAATCCTGAAAACCTACAAATAAAACCATCAGCAGCCTGAGTTGAGATGACAGTTAGCTGCGTTTCTATGACAACCTAGAGGAATAGTACAAGTCCTGACTTGCAGCAAAGCTAAGATATAAACAGAGTGACATTTACCCCATACAAGAAAACTCACAGCTTTCCTTTTTTAAAGAAAAAAAAAAAATCAATTGCTCAACTAACATGGATTTTTACTAAGTGTATGGCACTTTTAATTAAAGAAGTCCTTTAAACCATCCTACAGGATTCTAAACACTAGAAAATAAATTTTATAGCACCTGCTTCTTGTACCACTGCTTAACACTTCTTCCGTATTTTCTGCCTGAAAAAAACTAAACCAAGCCCAACAGCATTAAATTTAAAAATTATTGATGAATATATTAAGAGAAAAATAAATGTATACTGCACAAAATGTGTAAAGTGCTCCATACATGGCAGCCTTAAATTCTGAAAGGGAGGAAGACCTACAGAGCACACAGGAGGAAACTACCTTTGTGGTGCTGTAATATAATGACCATTTTTCAACCACAGGAATGCTAATTTGAAACTCATCTCATTTAGTTTTCTACTGCCTATTGCTGCTGAAGCTAACCATCAAACTGCTAAAAATATGCTGTAAAGAACCTGTAAAGAGCAGGTATCTGTAACCATTTCCCACTGAAAGCACATTCCCAATTGAATTAAATACTCTAATTAATCAGTAAAACTAATCCAAGTCCCTTCCTACTAAGAGCTCTTCTATTTGTCACTGCTGAACTCCTGAATCAAAAACAAAGCTTCCCAAACCTAACACCTAGTAGGTGTGAAGCTCGCTACCAACTCTTCTTCTGGAGCAGATTTACAAAACTGAGAAGAGCTGCAAGTATGCGATCAGCTCTCAGAAGGCCAGTACCACTGCAAGGGATGCTCATCTGCCTTTCTGAATGCCGGTTCGCAACCTTCTTCAGATATTCTGCCCCATCTTTCGTAGCTTTGCCTACAGGAGCAACTGCGGTGGAATCAGGAGTAGGAAAAAAAAAAAAATCCGAAATCAGTCCTCACAAAGAAAATTTCCAGAAGGAACCTGTGGGCAGTTCCCGGAGTTATTCCATTAGCCCACATTTGCTCCTGCTGCAGAGGATCTGCCCACAGGACAGTCTGTCACATGAACTACATGCTCTAGTGATTGCAGATACTCTAATTATGTTACGGGCACTGACAGCAAAGTGTCATCCTTCCTGCACGATTTGCCCTCCAAGTTTTTCAAAGCCTTTATGGAAATAAACGGTGCATACATTATAAGGCAAGTGCCCTTCCTCTTTGCTGCACATCATCTGTCCAGTCCCAGCCAGAATTCCAATTACTATAGGTGGCCATTCCAGGCTTGTTTACGTCTGCAAATTTTGACCCTGCAAAGCATATAAACTCAAATACAAAGATACCTAAGGTCCATCACTCAAGTAATTTCAAAGGATCTATACTCACACCCTATTGCAACAAGGCCGTGGTGTCACAGGCCTTCCTAAAAAGCCATGTCATGGGAGAGAAAAAAAAAAAAAAAAAAAAAAAAAGACAAAACCAAACAAAAACCCCACAGCTCATTTTCATTTTTTTCATGTTTTCTTTCAAGTTCATGTTGATTTCAGAGATTATAAGAAAAATGTCAAATTAGCTCATTTTCTCCTAGGTTAACAACCATTAAAAATACTCTGCCTCTCTGTATCTTAGCAATTTGTGAAAGTAGATTTTCTTGACATTTAATATGGGCCAGATCTTTGGAAACCCACTTAGAACTTACTAAGAAATCAGCATTTTTATTTATTTAAACAGTCATCACTATCACACAGAAGAAAAAATTAAACTAAATAGTTAGAGTTACAGAATTATTAGTTTACAAACTATATGAAAACCTTTGGTAGAACCGAAGAAATCAACTCCATTTATTTTTAAGTTAAAACAAAGGTTCACAGAACAGTTTCAGTTATGCAAAAATGAATAAACACATCCTTAGTGCTCTGGTGGGGCCAGCTTCACTTATACTGAAATTCAACAAATATAAAAAAATCCCAACAACAAAACAAAACAAACAAAAAAAAACACAAAACAAAAACAGACAAACAAACAAATATAAAAAGCCCTCAAGCCCCAGAATGTAATCCCCTGGGAGAATGAATGACTTCTCTTCTCTATGTACAGAGCACAAAGTGCAGCAAAATACACATCAGAACTCAGTCGCCAAGAACACGTATTATATTTTTGGTCTTGACATCTTGACTTGATCCAAAGCATAACCACCTCCAACTGTTAATTTTTTAATGGAAATGATGTCTTAACCAGGGGGTTGAATTGGTTGT